TCACGCACACTCTTTGTTTTCATTTGGGACTCCTCTCTGCATTACAGCTGGCCAAGGCAGTTCTCAGCACGAGGGAGAGGTAGAAGAAGCGCCGAGTTTGGAAGCAGTAAACCCATTATAACTGTGCTCCTAATTTTGACACGATTGTCCTTGTTGAAAACATACTAATTCTCAGTACTCTAAAACCCTGGCTGCATGAAAATCCAATATGATCATCAGTAATGGCAATTTTCTGGAAAATCCAAGGCTTGGTAGAGCTAGAGTTTAGGAACAACCCTTCAATGAAACAGTGATATGAAAGAGTCACTCTTTTCGATCTTCCTCACACTGGAACCCAAAAGTCAAAAAGGGCATCATCAGAAATCAGGACTATGTGAGTTGATGGGATTTGTGGAGTGTTTCAAGGGGGAGAATGGTGCTTCTAGCATTCATCTTTGACAGGTTCTGTTTATATCCTCCTGCTGAGCAAGCTCATGTAGTCTTTATCAACATTCATCTATCTGGCAAAGACGTTTTTAGTTTGATTTTCTCTAGTTTCTTAATGAGAATTCCCACCTTGGTGCCCTATAAAAACCAAACCAAATTCATAGCTATCAATTCGATTCTGACTAATACCATCCCTTTCTGACAGAATAATTGCCCGATGGGGTTCCCAAGGCTGTAATCTTTATGGAAATAGACTGTGACCTCTTTCTGCAGGAAAGTGGCTACTGATTTTTAACCTCTGGCCCAGGGAGAGATGAGCTATGGTCCTAAAGAACTGCTAGAGATTTCTGATGTGCACAACCATGAACCTAGAAAATATGTGTGGGAATGGTTTTTAAGGGTGTGGGAAAATGGTGCGAGGAACATTAAGATTGCATCAATCTGAATTTGTATTATGGGTCCATTAAACACAGATTGTTCATTCAATTTCAGCTAGAGAGGTTAGAAGAGGATTTAATACTTTATTTGGTTGGTTCACTGAAGCATGGATCGTGAAATGGTCTACAATAAGTCAAGTTGAAGTATGAAACCTACCTTGATGTACTAGAAAAGAAGAAGAAGGCATAAAGAAAGCTTTGAGAAATTGACATGTTAGAGTGGATTTATCAGGATAGACCTATACGTTCACATAGAGGAGATGCTGTCTATCACAACCAGACCAAAATCAAAACACACTTCCATGAAGTCAATGCCAATTCATAGTTCCCTGGTAGGAGAGGGTAGCACAGCCTCTGTGAGTTTCTGAGACTTTTAACTGTTTACAAGAGTTATAGTTAAATCCCCATCTTTCTTACTCAGAGTATCTGCTGACCTTGCAGTTAACAGCCCAATGCCTAATCGCTACTTTATCAGGTCCCCATTATCACAACAAGTCCCCTTTATCACAACAATGAGGAACAAGTTGGTGAGGGGAGCCCAAGCATCTTTGAAGACTGCTGTGATTGCTATGATAAGTAAGTCATATTTGACAGTGGGAACTGTCCCAGCTGAATTAAGACACTTAACTCTAATGGGGCTGATTGGGTCGTGTATTGATAGAGGTTACATGGTAGCATTTAATTGACAAAAACAAAGTGGGCTATGGTAATGGACAGCAAAGTGGTAGTCAGAATAGTCTGATTAATGGCTATATGGTACTGGCTACTCAGTCAGGCAGGTGTCTCTAAGAGTGACATAGCTGAGAAACCAAGGAGAGATATACTAGATCTGTACCAACAGAAAAAATTCAAGGTCTGGTGAACAACAGACTTACCAGAATTACTCCAATTCTTTGCTTATAGAACCCTCCCCTTCCTCCCCCCAACAACCCTTTGAAGGGGAGGCCGGGTGTCTTTGAGGAAAGACATCAAAACACCACAAAAGGTTTATACTGTTAGTCTTCCTCCCAGATATCCCAAAGGACTCGGTGGCTTTTCTACAAGAGTGATTGTTCATTGGGGAAGAGGAAATAATCAGATTATTCTGGGATTACTGGACACTGGCTCTGAATTGACATTCATTCCAGGCGATCCAAAAATAGTTTTAAGAGCCAGCAGTCAGATCAGGGGCATATGAAGTCAAGTTATTAAAGGACACTGAGCTCAGACTTGTCTCAGAGTGGATCCTGTGGGTCTGAACCCGTCCTTTAGTCATTTCCCCAGTGGTAGAATGCAGAATTGGCATAGACGTAGCAATGGACAGAATCCCATATTGAATCTTTGATATGGGGATTAGGGGGCTATTATAGTGAGAAAAGCTGAGTGGAAAGCCATTAGAATAGCCTCTGCCGAGGAAAATAGCAAACAAAAAGTAGTGTCACTTTCCTACAGGGATCACACAGATTAGTAATTTCGGAGATTAGGGATCGTAGAGATTAGATTTGAAGGATGCAGAGGGGCTGAGGGCTGGGGGTGGGGGTGGGGGTGGGAATCCCACTACATCCCCATTGAACTCGCGGTTTTGGCCTACAAAAAACAGATGGACCATAGAGAATGACAATGGATTATTATAAACTTAACCTGGTGGAGACTCTGCTTGCAGTTGCTTTTCCAGATGTGCCATCATTGTGTGAGCAAATTAACACTTCCCTTGGTAACTGGTATGCAGTCAGCCATGAATCGAATGAATGCCTTTTTCTCAATTTGGGACTGAAAGGATGTCCAGAAGTAGTTTGCCTTCAGCAGGAAAGGGCAACGATAGACTTTCACCTTCTTACTTCTGATATATGCGTCTCCGGTCTACAGAGAAACTGATTACCTTTCCCTCCGACAGGAGGAGGCCGTACTTCTCCGTCACAATGATGACATGCTGATTGGACCCAGTACTGAAGAATATCAAACACTCTCATTGGTGAACTTACTAGTGAAATGTCTGTGAGTTTAGGGTGGGAGATGACTCTGACAAAAATTTAGACCCTTTCAACCTCAATGAAATGTCCTGGGACCCAGTGGTGTGGGGCATGGTGAAACAATCCTATGAAGGTGGAAGTCATGTTATTGCATCTGGTCCCTCCCACAGCTGGAAAGGAGACACGATACTTTTGGATTTGGGAGGCAACATATTCCTCATTTGAGTGTGCTATTCCTGGCTATTGATCATGATTCAAAACAAGAGAAGGCTCGGCAGCAGCTTCAAGCTGCTCTGCCACTTGGGCCGAATGTTCACATGGAACTTGAAGTGTCCGCAGCAGATAGAGATGGGAAACTTTGGCAGGCTCTGATTGGTGAATCACAGACCTTCCATCCTCTTTTGAGAACATTTTTGGTTTCTTACCAGGCCTCCGCAGAGAATGAATTCTCCCCACGGGCCACAATGTCATCATGACACGTGAGCTTCTCATCACGAACTGGGTATTGTATGATGCCCACACTCATACAGTGGGAGCTCAGTAGCACTCCATCATTAAATTGAAATAGTATTACAAGACTGAACTCAAGCAGGACTCAACGAGACAAATACGTTCACAAAGAGGTGGCCCAAATGCTTTTGCACTTCACTCTTCTCTCCGTACCTTCCTTCTCCCAGTCTGCACCTGTGACCGCATAAGGAATTCCTTATGATCCGTTGACTGAAGAAGAGAAAGTCGGTGCTTAGTTTTCAGATGTTTCTGCATGATACGCAGGCCCTTGAAAGTGGCCACAGCAGCAGTATGGCTCCTTTCTGGAACCTCCCTTAAAAGACAGGGATGAAGGGAAAGCCTCCCAACATCCAGAACTTTGGGTAGTTCACCTGGCTGTTCATTTTGCTGAGAAGGAGAAATAATCAGATGTGTAACTGTACACTGGGGAAATAGTTTGGCTGGATGGTCAGGAGTTTGGAAGGAGCATGATTGAAAAAATGGTGTGAAGGAAGTATGGGGAAGAGGCACATGGATAGACTTCTTTGATAGCCCGAAAATATGACGATAGTTATGAGTGTCTCATGTGAATGTTCACCAAAGCATTACCTCTGTAGAGGAGGATTTTAACAATCAACTAGATAGGATGACATAGTCTTTGAAAACTAGCAATCCTCTTTCCACAGCCACTCCTGTCATTGCCAAATGGGTTAGTGACCAAAATAGGCAGGATGGCAGAGATGGAGATTATGTGTGAACTCAACAACATGGACTTCCACTCAAGGACAACTCAACTATTGACACTAGTGCATGTCCAACGTGCCATCAGCAGAGACCAACACTGAGTCAAAGATATGAGGCAAGGAGATCAAACAGCAGGTGACAAGTTGATTATATCGGACCACTTCCATCACGGAAAGGGCAGTGTTTTGTTTCTACAAGAACAGACACTGTGGATATGGACTTGCTTTCCCTGCAGGTAATGCTTCTACCAAAAGTGCTTTTCCACCAAAATGCTTCTACCAGCCATAGATGTTCAGAATGCCTTATCCCACACAAAATGTATGGCATTCCAGACAGCATCGCCTTAGATGAAGAGATTTGCTTGATAGTAAATGAATTTCAGATAGAGGCCATGCTCATGGAACCCAGCAGCTTTTCCATGCTTCCCATCAACCTGAAAAGGGTGGTTTGAAAGAACAATAGTTGGTTTTAAATAGCCTTCTAAGGACACAGTTATAGTACAGCTAGATGGAAATACTGTTCAGTGTTGGGGCAATATTCTTTATGAGGCTGTATGTAATTTATATATATACATAATTATATTTATATATATAGCAATATTTATGTTGCTATTTCTTCAATCACCTGTCTTCACGGGTGCAGGGACCAAGGGGTGAAATTGTGAGTGACACAACTTACTGTTACTTTTAATGACTCACTAGAAATATTTTTACTTCCTGTTCTTGTGGCCATAAGCACTTGATTC